TACGCTTGTTTTTATTTTTGAGTTTACAAATTGCGCAACACCAGCCATACGATTTGCAAACCAATCCATACAATCTGCACCTCGATAGCTCTCGAAATAAGAAAGGCTATCATCATAGCTGCATTTTACATAGAAACCAGCACTATACGGAACGTGTTTTTGATATTTTATGGTTTTAGTTAAATTTACGACGCTACTTTCTTTATGATTTTCTAATTGACATTCAAAATCTGCATAAACAACAAAAGGAGTATTTTGTTGGTATGTAAAGTTTTTAAATTCAACGCAGCTCTCTTTAGGAAGGTTAATTTTATATTTATTAAATTTAGAACACAGTTTTTCATGTTCAACTAATTTATTTTGCTGATGGAAATAGTTCAGACATCTATCGCAAATAAATATTTTCTCACGATGTTTATTTAACTGGCTACTAATAAGACGCGAAAGATTTTTAATCCAACAATAGTGATATTTAATTTCATCGATTGAATCATTATCTTCATTTGCTGGCGCTGGTGGAGGAGCATCATAATCATTTAAACGCGGATAATATTTATTTTGAGCTAAAAGTAAATTAACATGCGTATCCCGTTTATTTTCCGTTAATCTTGCTGGTACTACTATGTAAAATGATTTTTTTTCTGTTTCGATCAATTCTAAAGCGTAAACATTGACTGAAATGTTATTCATCTTTTCAAATTTTGAAATTTTTGTTAGCAGCATAGGACTATCTAAATTTTCTGTTTGTAAAACGTCAGTAAAGTGTGGATATGAGGAGGTTAGTTCTGCATGTCTTTTTTTGCTAGGAGTCCGAAGAGCGCTTACAATGGCCCAGTAAAAGCAATTTTGATCTATATTTTTAATGTTTATACAAGCATTTTTCTTTATAATCGGTTCTGGTAGTCTAATATAAGATGAACCGTTTCCCAATTGATATTTACTGATATTAACAACTAAGGAAATAATTTTATTTAACGCAAATCCCGAATCTTTTTCAGCAAATTCCGATAATTCGTTTAAAAGTTTATCTTTAACATATATCTTAAACCACTCGTCTATTTGAGTTGATGTATCAATAATATGATTTTTAGTATTAATATATTTAATTCCCAAAATTTCATTATCCCCCGATTTCCTAATAAACTCCCCACAAAATGTTGTATTTACTTTGAGCGCACAATGGGTGTTCAAAATATTCCTAATTTTCCTTTTAAAAACAACTACACAATCTGCTAAAAATTGATTCAAGTCCTTATGACGCAAATTAGCTATGGAACCGGTTTTTATTCTACTTTGAAAGCTCGATTCTACATTTTCCCATCTAACCCTCTGACCCAATGTTAAGTGAAGTCCTGCCCCAATATGTCTAGTTAAAATCAACTTTCTAAAATGTTTAAAATGCCCCAAATTTGTTTCTACTTTTCTACAGGTCCCTACAGATAATTTATTTTGCCTTCTACTACGAATTACCCGTTTACATAATCTAATTTGTTTTTCTATTCGTTTCAGCCACACTTCCGCGTCTCTGATTGTAAAATTATCAAATAAAATTTTCCGTAGACTAACAATTGATAGTAGAACACCGTCTGTTTGTTTGATGATCTTTTTAACCTTATTTGAAGACATTTGAAAAGACGACATTTTTTTTTTCAAGCAAACACATTACTCAAAAATATATAAAAATGCTCACCCTGTCCTCCTCCTGTTCTCTGCTTTGTTAATTTTCCACTATTTTGAATGATGCTAGCGGTCGGCTTTTCCCTACGTCCACTTCCCCTTGGAAGATGATCGAGTATTTTCCGTGAAAAAGTTCGTCGATGACCGGCTGGTACGTTTCCGTCACCCGCTGTGGTAGAAATAGCACTTCCGGTCCTAAATCTAGTAGCACGGCTTCCCCAAATTTCGACTTGACCACTTTAGCTGCTTGGATTGCAAATGGTGTCCCGACTGGTAGGTCCTTTAATTTTCTGATAGGTTTGCGGTCTACAATCGAAGACGCAGCATTAATTTTTGATAAATCCATCTATAAAAAAAAATTGAGTCGTCTAACTATTTTGAAGCATAACACGAAAAAAAAAACAGTTGCACTTAGAGACATAAAAAAGAAAAATATTAAATAAAATAGCACTTACTTTTTTTAAAATTTTCGCTCTCTCGTCTCTCTCGAAGCACTAATTGTACTGCGGTCGTTGTTGCAGCTTGCAGCGTTGTGCGTTAAGTGTGAAACAATGATGACTATTGCATGCGCTCGCTCAATATAAGTACGTAGTAGAGATGACACACGCGTGCATGAGATAATTGTATCGTAAATATGCATATTATATGCATCATATTCTCAGTACCATTTTTATCGAGAAAACTGCATGCGCTCGCTCAATATAAGTACGTAGTTGAGATGACACACGCGTGCATGAGATAATTGTATCGTAAATATGCATATTATATTCATCATATTCTCAGTACCATTTTTATCGAGAAAACAACATTCATTGCGGTTGCAGTATTTTTTATATAATTTCTTAGTAATACATGAATGTATCGTTTGTCCGGCGGAAATTCCAATTACAAGTTGCACATGAGAGTAGAATTTTAGAAATATAGAAATTCGTGTATGATTATTGTATATTTGCTGCCTAATTTTTTTTCAGTCAAGATTTTGATTGGGGGGGTAAACGAATTTATATTTGCTATCTGAGATTTTTGACATCATTCTCTATCAAGATGTTGATGTGGGTAGACGTATTATTTTTTATTTCAACTTTCACATACGTGCTTTGCAACGATTTCTCCGAAAAAGACGCTATAGTATACCTAACTCAATATGAACATATCATCGATAATACAACAGATCTCTCTACTTTGCTAACTAACTTGCAAGAAAAGTATAATTTACCAGTGGATGGATTGTTGAATAATGCAACAATTGAATTTATGAATCGTCCGCGTTGTCAATACAGTGATGCTGAATTTAGAGCAAGTTTTCCATTTCGGAAACATGACCTGAAATGGTATTTCCCTCGAAACACACCTGCGGCCCAAAAAGATGCAGAAATGGCTTTTCAGATGTGGCAAAATGTTTCAAACTTAACATTTACAATGGTTACCAATCCCACTCTATATCCTCCTGATATTACTATAACCATGGTTAGCAAGACTCATTATTTTAGCGCAAACTGTATGGGTAATGATGAATGTCCATTGACATTAGATGATGCTGGCGGCGTTTTAGGACATGCATACTTTCCTGACTCTAGCGGCACCTGTAGAGAAATCCATTTAGATATAAATGAACGCTGGTATTTTGGAAATAATCCTAATATACCCAAAAATCAAACTAGTTTTCTTATGGTGTTGGTTCATGAAATTGGACATGCCCTCGGCATAGCACATAGTGCTTCTCCGAATGCTATTATGTTTGCCTTCTATCAGCATGAGATTCGTGGTCTAGATGTTGATGATATAAATGCAGTACAATATCTATATGGAAGAAAAAACAAATATGATTCAATCCCAAAGTCTACCACCGCATCAGCAATACCAAAAACAACAACAACTATAAGATCTACAACTCGTAAGCAGCCGATCCTCAAAAATTTGTGTGATATTATTCCAGATTTTATGTTTTTAGCTATTGCTCCAGAGTTTTCAAATTACCGATTATATATTGCACATGATATGTTTATATGGAAACTAGACTTAAACGAAATGATTATCCCATCTCAGCCTGAACTTCTTGTCGATTATGTTCCTACAGAATTACGTCAATACACTTTACAACATATTTTCCAATCAACAAACGGTGACTTGATTACCATTGTGTCTCCAAACAACTATTTCTCAGCATCATTCCCTACCATTAAATTTCTTGATAATTTTTCAATTGATATACCCGATAGGGCTCGAATCAATGCTATTTTTCAATCAAACGCAGGACGGTCCTATACCTTTTATAATAATATGTCATATATAGAATTTTCTAACGATTTTACTGATGTGTTGAACAGAGGACGGATAAGAGACATATTTCCTGAATTACCTGAAGATATTTCTCTCGCATTTCGATGGATTGATGGCCATATTTACTTTTTCCGTCACGCAACTTACTATAAATTTAATGAATTTACAAGAAAAGTTGTTGCGACCGGACCATTTCATTGGACTCTATTTGGAGTACCATGCCCCAGCGAGGATTTGTTACATCAACTAAAAACTCTGTTATCTAAACTTGTATCTGTATATCATTAAAAAATACATTTTTCAGAAAGCTATGTTTATTTCGTATTCAGCCTGTTGTCAAACAAAAAAAAACAGTCGGTTCCTTCGACTCCCCACCCCCCCACCATCATTCTACTACATAAAGTTTCATTTTGAACGGTATCATCCTGTATAATAATAACAGTACATCGTATACAGGTTATGAGACATTCTGACCGACCGACCGACCGACCAGAGGAGCCCACCACGCTATTTAGGTCACGCCTTGCTATATACGATTTAACGATATACCGTCGGTCCATTGATCCGCTATTTTTCGATGCACCCCTGTATACACGTTCTGAATGCCCCCCGTAATCCACGCCAACACCAGACAGGTGCGACATCGGCGCCATCTATGCGCGAGATGCCCAACCCATCAATGGCAGCTGTCCAATGACACATAGATTCCGTTTGGTTTGTACAGCGCCAAACAAATCGGCGCCATCTATGCGCGAGATGCCCAACCCATCAATGACAGGTGTCCAATGACGTATAACAGATGACGTTTTAACGCCATCTATGCGTGAGATGCCCAATGACGCATGACAGGTGTCCAATGACACACAGATTCCGTTTGGTTTGACAGCGCCATCTAGCGGCGGAATCCCCAACTCATGAATACAGATTCCGTCCAACAACCTGTCAATGGCGCGCGACGCCAGCGCCTCTGGTGGCGGATTTTGGAAGTTTTGAGACCGAATCCCCATAAGACATCTACTGGCATTTTATCATAAATTTAAATTGTAAATTTCCAAATAGAGAATGTCCGAATGATGATGTTATGTAATTTATTTGCAGATACATCCTGGTGTCATAAATATAAAAGCGCATATCGAACCTAAAATGCTTTGCGAGGTTTGTTATAAATAATAATGCCTTGTAAACATATGTATTAGTCATTATTAAGTGAAAATCAACGACCACCTTAGTGAAATAATAAAATTTTAAATATCGCGGATAGGGGAAGCGACAAATGATAAAGGGTGCCATAGCTGCATTGCCAGGTATTAGCTCCCAAGATTTTTACATACACTAAGTGACATATAAATCCGAACACCCAGTTTAAATGGTTTTATTTTAATAAGATTTTGTATAAGTACTTAATGAAGCAGAATAAGTAAATGATAAACATTTCAAAATGATTGCACTGCTTTAAAGCCCTTTGACCTTTAATAATGTGTGGATGCACCCTGATGTGCTACGCATTCTCCAACGCGCATAGGCGCATACTTCTGATCAGGTGGTCAATGTCCTCCTGTGGTATCTCATTCCAGGCAACCACCAACTCCTCTCGAAGTGCTTCTAGAGTCTGAGGAGGACGTTGCAAATTGAGCAATCTCCTACCCATCATATCCCACACGTGCTCCATTGGGGATAAGTCGGGAGATCTTGGTGGTCATGATAACAATGTGACATCATTATGTTGAAAGAAGTCTATTGTGACTCTTGCAACATGTGGTCGGGCATTATCTTGTTGGAAAGTTGGATCTGCCAGGGTGTCAAGATAGGGTAAAAGATGGGGTTCTAGAACTTCGTAGATATAACGCTGCGCGTTCATGTTACCTCTGATGAAGATTAAAGGTGACCTGGAACCATAAGCTATAGCACCCCAAACCATAACTCCAACAGTGTGATGAAGATATCTTTCAATAAAAAACTGTGGATTCCTCCTTTCACCACGTCGCCTTCTAACCCTGGCATGACCATCGTGCATGCCTAAACAAAATCGAGACTCGTCATTAAAGACAATACTGTTCCATTCCTGATCCCAGAGTGACCGTTGTCTGCACCACTCAAGGTGATTACGTCGGTGTTCTCGAGTTAAAGGGAGGACCCAGTGTGGCCGGTATGAAAACAAGCCAAAACTTCTCATTCGTCGGTAAACACTTCGCATGCCAATAGGTCTTCCGTGTTCTGCAAACCATTCATTTGCAATGGACCTGGTAGTGGAGAAACGGTCCCTTAAGGCCAATAATCTTAGGCGACGATCTTCACGGTCTGTTGTTCTACGGCGGCGTCCAGTGCCCCTTGCTCTTCGCGTACGGCCTTCTCAAAGCCATGCCTGACAACACCTAACCACAGTGTCTACACTTCTTTCCACTCTAACTGCAATTGCCCGAAAAGAAAGTCCAGCTTCCCGAAGTCTCACTATACTTCCCCTATCAAACTCACTAAGTTGACGAAATCGTACAGGTCTCTGTACTCTAGGCATCGTAACCGATCGTAAAGGATGTCAAGAACCAAAATCCGCCAACGTTGATTCTTTACTGCGGCTGAAATATTCATTTTTAGAGCGTTAGTGAATTAAAAAAAAGCAGTATAAAAACCGGAATGTCCAACTGATAAGGCTGAAAATGTTTTCATTTGTTATTTACAGTAAGATAAATACATTCACCAATTTTTATTAAAATAAAGCCATTTAAACTGGATGTTCGGATTTATATGTCACTTGGTATACTTATATTACGGATTTGGAAAGCTACAGATTGTTTTTCTGTTATGATTACTTTTGTAATGCAATTTTTCTGCGTCTATATAATGCTTTTTTCATAGCTATACGATTAACAATTTCATAGAGTTCATAAATAGTTGTTTTCTGATTGAGTCTAGTACATTTCCTGTGGAATTTTATATCAAGTACATTAAGCTTCTCCAACTCGATAACTCGATAACAGTTGGAAACATTGAACAAGCAGCATTAGCAACCATGTTTTTGAACAGACATCCAATCTAGTCAAAGCTATTCCCACGCTCCCCATCAAGAACCTCATGTTGTTTCTTACGTCGCGTTCTCCATCCTGCATCAATTTTGCATTTTGCGAACTGTACTCGTATCTTTATCTTCCTATAAATTCTAATGTTTAAGTGTGTTGACAAAAGCCATACTGTGTTCCTGCTCATCGTTTAATCAAGAACAGCGTCGTGACAGTATCTATGGCTTTGTATGAGCCATAGGCATAGGAATAGAATTTTCAGATGAAATTGGTGGTGGTGCTGGGGGCGATATAGCCATAGTGCATGCAAAGTGGCTGACGCCGAGAAAGAAACGGGTGTGGTGGGCACCATATAAACAGCAAGTACGACCTAGTGCCGTATAAGCAGTAAGTTTTTTGAGGATGGTAGGTATATTCTTCAAACTTTACCTATAATTAAGGGCCGTATCGCTATCGTCAGTCGTCCCAACAATTATTGTAGGACGCCTTTATGGCCTCCTTGATTTTCACAGGTTTCTACTGTTCCGTTTTACCGCTCAATTTTGAGGTTATGTTACAAATATCTATTCGCATCAAAATGTTCATACTTTTGAATTATATCTATTTTATCAGCCTGAAATTTCCTACGATTCAAGAAGAAAACATACATTCACAACCCGAGCCTTTTGAAGAGGAGAAAATACTATGAAAATCAAGGAGGCCATAAAGGCATCCTTGAATTGTAAGAATGACTGACAATACGGCCCTGAAATGTATTTAATTACTTCAAGTGTCTCTATGTCAGTCATCAAGGAACAGCATCAATTCAATTTGAATATTTTTCAAATAATGCAGCTGCTAATTAAACTGCAAAAATTCATTACCCGCAAGACTTTTCTATTACAAAGTGGGACTTCATGTTTGTAGAACAATGAGTCTGTTCAGCAAAAGTAAAGCTGTACAGCATTTTTATACTGAATAGTAGTAGCAATGGGATTTGATACATGTCATTAGGACTTAAGTTGGTTATATGACCAAATTAGAAGAATATTATTTTCTTTTTCAGATCCTGTACATTTCAAAGTTAGGGAGACATGATATTACCAATAGAACAAATATAATATTGAGGCGCCTAATATTTGATAATTTGGCAGTTAGATACAATTATTTGGGAACTAGACAAGAGAAGAAGGCATTCAAAACTTCATTTCTCAACAAGGTTGTAATAAGTAAGTACTAACAGATCTTTATAGGTTCCCAAACAGCTTCAGACCTATTATTGCTTACAAATTTAGTTTTTTGTATCTAATGTAATATACAAGACTTGGTGTACAACTATATACAAAAATGCTTTTTCATGTGACAGCTTTATATACTTAGGTAAACAGCTAAAAAAATATTTACTAATAAAAAAAATAAAATATAAAATGTTCTATCAGACTATCAGATAATTTATTCTGCATTTTAGCTGTCATATTTTATTTTTCCCAAGTCAAATTATATTGATTTTAAGTTATGGTTGGATTGTATAATCTTATTTTGTATACAGTTGATTATATCACATCTATATATTCAAATTTTATTTCAAGGAGCACCAATGCTACCAAAAAAGATGTATGAAGAAGATGCCATTAAATCGTGCACCAAAAAATATAAAACAAAATATTCATATATCGTTTTTATCTTCAGTAGTAGTAAAATGTAATATTGTGTTAACTAAAAACAATATTCAACTTTGATTTTCTACTTACATTCTTTTTTTTGTTACGAGTGTCACAAAGTGAAAGGAACTATAAGAAAGTTATTAGTGAGCATCAGTCATTAGGCATTTTTGAAAGGAAGTTCAACAAATGCTTAATAAAATAAATGCCCCTCAGGTTGTGGCCTAATCTCAACGACAGTCTTGTAGAGTCAGGTAATTCAAATTTTGAAGTAACTGAGGATATTTTGAGAAGTGTGAGATATTTAGAGCAAGATTTTGACTATAGTAATAATATTGAACATATTGAACAAGATCTATGCAGCACCTATATGCGAGGTAGATTCTTCACAGCTATGCGGCTTTAAAGACCCAAGAATACATCAATGCTTAATCTGATGCTGACAAAACGATTGTCTCATTCACTAAGATCGTATTTAATTAGAAAGCTAATATGCAATGAAGTGTATTAAAACATATCTGCAAAAGTTGTGTATAGTTTCTTACTTATATATATGCATATAAGTTGATATATATGATCTTATCAGCATTCATTTATTTTTTATCTCACATAAAATGTATGAGCAGACATGATGGTTTGTATTTAAAGCAATCGGTAAAATGTTGTTAACAAGACATATTTAGAACTGAAATCCTTACAACTTTTGACAAAAAATTAGAATACTCATGTTTTTAAGAAGTTGTTATGATTATTCAAGTAGTTATTTCAAATAAAATTACTATAGTATGTTTAAATACTGTATATTGTAAGCATTTCTTCCACCACAGTGGCCTTCTTTAGTACAATAACACTTGAAAGGTTGCGTGGATGAAGGTGGTAAGTAACATTTCGGTTAAAATGAGTTCAGTATGTTTGGTGAAGGCTATAAGCGATATTCTGTCTGGAAAAGTGGCTGTTAACAATAACAGTTATTGTCCACAGTAGGACCAACCTGTTTTCCGGACAGAGTACTACTTCTAGGCTGCGCCAAATATATTGAACTCATTTTTGATCCAAATGCTATTTACCACCTTCATCCAGTTAATCATCACGTGAAATCGTCGTCAAACAGTGACGTCGATTCTATCTCACACTTCGCCCACAAATTAACGGACTTTCCACGTCGAAAAGAGGCATGAAAACGACGTGTGTAGATCACGTGAAATCGTCGTCAGAAAGTAACGTCGATTCTATTTGACACGTCGTCCACAAATTAACGGCCTTTCCACGTCGAAAAGGGGCGTGGAAACCACGTGTATAAATCACGTGGAATCGCTGTCAGAAAATGACGTCGATTCTATCTGACATTTCGCCCACAATTTCAACGGGCTTTCGGCATCGAATAGGGCCGTGAATACTACGTAAAGAGGTACGTACTTTTCACGTGAGGTATACGTGTCCTTGCTGGCTGGGCTAGCATTGCTTTAATTTAAGACCATTTAAGTTGATTGTTTAGATAACACGATGATATTACTTCGCTTTCGCCATTTATAAGTTGAATGTAATCTGCAACGAAATTAATCTTTAGCAATTTATTCTGGATTTACCGAACATAATCCTTGTAGCTACATAAAGTACTCGAGCCATCTTTGAGCCAGCTCGGTAATCTTAGACTTGGAAGGCCAATTTATCTGAAGCGTACTTGAACGTATACCGAAAGAGATAAACGAAGAGTACAGTGCGATCAGGTGGCCTGGGAGACTCTTCAACCGCTCGTTTCAGATTTTGAACAAATAGGAAAAATTATCATTGTACGACGGCAAGACGACATCCAAGTTAACTCCAATAGCTGGAATAAGATTAGGGAGCGTCCATTAATTACATGAGGCACTCAGACGGGTAGGAGGGGTTTGAGTTGCATCTCCCCTAATCTCACGCGGGAGAGAGGGGAGTCTCGAAAATAAGACGTAATTTTTTTCCCGCGATTTGAATGTATAAAGTATGAGTCCTCAAATCTTTTTGGACAGACATTCGTCACTATTGCTTCAATAATGGACAGTCCATTGTATTAGTAGTCACGTGTTTATTTGGCTAGCAGAAGATAAATTGAGGTATTCTAGCAAAAAGATCGATTTTGCAAAATAAGTGTCGTGCTTGTGATTTCAATACTGTACCATCTGCACGACCGACAATTTAAGTTACCCAACGTTTTGTGCGTATAAAGTATTTTCCAAGAGATGTATTGTATAGATAGTTTAAATAAGAAATAAGACATTTCCAAAGTATATGTCTTCGGACAAAGTGGATAGACTATAACCATACGCTTATCTTTATAAATAAGATCGCACAAAGCGCCATCTATCAGCAAAATTGACCACTTATTCACTCTGAATAGAGAAGAGTTGCTCAGCTTCTGCTCGCTGTTCACTGAGACCAAGCCTACACCATGCTGAAGAGTTGCTAAATAGCACGAAACAGCTGTCCATGGTTGGCCGTCTGAGGTCAGACGAACGAAAGTTAAAAACCTCAATTAATTTGTGCAAAATTGCGAATTTGAAAAGACAACTGCTGTAATGCATACTGTCAGCGATGTCACATATTTCTGTAAAAAATATGTTCTTAACTGTTGTGATATGTATCCTCATCTGCTGTATCCGAGTACCTATCAGTCGATAATCTGCATAGTTTCTTTTTTGATATCTACTAACTTAATAGTTACAAGCTAAAACCTATTGTTTATTTTTTATCAATTAAAAGTCATTACAGATGTTTTACTAATTTTATATTGCTGAAAAGTCTTGTAATTGCAAAATGCTTAAGGTGCCTACGTTGGGCAGGTCTACCGAGTATGCAAGTGTTAATGTATCATTTCATTAGAGGACGTCTATTAAACGTAAAAACACGAAAATCTTGAAACCTAGTGTCAGTTTTTCCCACGTTATGTATTTGCCATAGTTTTTATAGTTACAGGCTACTGGAATTACTTATCAACAGGCAAGCTCTTGACCATGGGCTTGATTCTGAATCAGTTTCGACGTTGAAATTGATTTCGAGGCGCCTTGTGACGATATACTTGATTCGCTATGATAATTTTGACATCTGATTATATTCAAATTATCCTAGCTAATCAAGTATATCGTCACAAAGCGCCATCTAAGTCCATTTCAACGGTCGAAACTCACTTAGAATCAAGCCCCATATCGACAAAAGAACCAGTGGTGTGCTTAGTTAAAACTCAAAATATTGATTTAAAATTTGGCAATGTCACTACTGGGATAACTCGGTTGCACATAACCACAAACAGATTAATCCCTTAATGCCTACTGTCGATTAACAATCATCTAAATCACTGAAGTAGCTTAAGAGATATTAGGAATATAAATATTAGAAAAAAAGTCAATAAGAAAATCATGAAATAAATACATAAGTTATCATATTTTTGCATAACTTCATAAGATCTATCGCCTTATATGTTATAAATATAAACGGTATAAAGGAATCGAATTAAAGAAAATTGAAACAGTTAAAAATACAAAAGCAAAATTAGCATATAGACTATTTGATACACAATATTTTAACCCTTAACAGGAAACGTAAATTTTTGGAACACAAAAGGAAACATGCCGTCTCTCAGACTGCGAACTTCAAGATGTTCAAAAAATTAGAGTAAGGCGAAAAGCAAGCAATAACTTCGCTGAAACTGATACTGGATGTTTATTTTATGTGTTTAATACGTAAAATGCTCATTTCAAAATGATATAAGAACATAAAAGAAACATTTTTATTAACTATGCTAAAACCATACAAAAATAACGCTGTTGTTGCAACATTCAGAAACTAAATTAAAACTATGGAAAAGTCTCAATATTTTTCTATTTTCTAGTTAAATAATGAACAAGGAAAGTATATTATAGTCAATAAATACAAAAAGAACACAATCAAAATTCACTGCAAGTCTCAAACATTGCCTATATTTATGCAGCTAATACATTTGGGTTTGGAGCATTGAAGACATACAGGCTTCCTACATTGTACACACAAAAATTTGGTCATCCGATGGGTCGTTCGGTGACATAAAAAGCAGGCTTTCCTTTTTCCAAAACCAAATTTTCAGCTTCTGTTGCTGGATGTTCACATTTGCCCAGGATGCGATTTATCGTAAGTCGCAAATCCCGAGGTAGTCGCTTTTCCATATGCTCACGGACCAGGTTAGCGGCCAACATCTTAGCAAATACCGATTTTTCCTTCTGCAATTCATTTTTCTTATAGCACTGGTGTAAAATATACGAGTTCACTACCGATATATCCAATAGTCGGTAGAAAATAACCAGTGGCCACCTACGCGAACGGCGACTTGAGGTACTCTTCGAACATTTTTCATCAAGAGAATCAACTCCACCTTTATTAGCATTGTAATAGGCTATTATTTCCGGTTTCTGTGTTTCCGGATCACAATATTTTCTGTGGTGCATAGAAGATATGAGTATTGTGGCTTTATTTTTTTTGCTTACATGAGACACAATAGTGGAATCTTCTCGAAATCCGTACATTGTTGATCCGACTTCTCTTGATTTGTTGGGTAAAAATGCCGGAGGAATTTCTCTTTTATTTTTCTTCATTGTACCCACATAGGTCAGTTTGTTCTTCAATAGGACATCCATTAATTCTATTGACGTAAACCAGTTGTCCGCTGTAATGTTGCGATTAGTTCCAAACAGAGGCTTCGCGAGACGTAGAACTGATTGTGTGGGTTTGGAATACCGCTTGTGTTCCTCAGGAAGTTCGAAACTATCGGAATCTTTACCGCAGTATATATATGCGTTATAGAGGTAGCTATTCCTTGCATCCGTCAATGCCATAATTTTTATGCCATATTTGCAAGGTTTCGCAGGCATATACATTTTAAATCGACATCTTCCTCTGAAACTCACGAGCATTTCATCGACAGTGACAGACTGGCCAACTCCGTACACATCTTGACAGTTCTTTATAAAACTATTAAAAATGAAAGATATTGGTGCTACTGGATCTAGCTTCTTTCTTTCATTCCTGTCATCTGGGTTAT